ATGGATGGGACTGGAGGAGATTATGCTAAGTGAAATAAGTCAAGCAGAGAAAGTCAATTATCATATGGTTTCACTTGTGGAACATAAGGAATAGCATGGAGGACATTAGGAGAAGGAAGGGAAAAATGAAGGGGAGGGGGAAATCGGAGGGAGAGATGAACCATGAGAGACCACGGACTCTGAGAAACAATCTGAGGGTTTTAGAGGGGAGGGGGGTGGGGGGATGGGTTAGCCCAGTGATGGGTATTAAGGAGGGCACCTACTGCATGGAGCACTGGTGTGATATGAAAACAATGAATCGTGGATCACTACATCAAAAATTAATGTTATATTGTATGGTGACTAACATAATACAATAAAATTTAAAAAATAGTGAGATGAAATTTAGGTCTGATTAAATAACACAGAGCACAACACATTATAGTAGAAATCTGAAAAATATGAGTGACTGGTTAACAGGGAGGACAGAGTGAAGCAAAAAGGGTCAATACACATCTAACACGAACTCCAGGAGGATGGCCAGGGAGAGAGGAAATACGCAAAGAGAAATAACCAGCAAATTTTCATAATTAAAGACATGAGATTTGAGATGGAAGGTATGAACGGAGACTGTTCCTGGATAAATAAAAACAAATCCACACTAGAAACATCATAACAATAAAAACAACAGGGTTTACTTCCTTTATCTGTTGCTGCGTATTTCCCTGCTTCTATCCACTGCTAGAGCTCTCACCCCCCAGTCTCCTCGCTCTAGTCAGACACCAACCATCCCTGGCTTGATTCACAGGGGTTGCTGGTGGTGATGCTGGTCTTCACTGTGCTGGAGCTCTTATTGGCTGCATATGCTTCCATCCTTTGGTGGAAACAAGTGTACTCCAACAATCCTGGGGTGAGTATTTGACATGTCACATGAAACCTATTGGGTCCCAATATGTGAGCTGTGATGATCCAGGTTGAGAATAAGTGTCAGAAAGAGGAGTCAATTATTGATCACGTGGTTCATGTAGGTGACTTTCATAGTGAGGAGAGAGTTCTATGAATGGGTTCCTTCATGATGACCCTGGTATCTGAGATTATTAGTGGGTGCCTTCTGGCCAGCAAGCCAGTTAGAGAACTGCTTAATATGAAGTTGGAATGGCTTTAGAAATTGCCTGCCCCAGATGGGTGTGTGGTTCAGTTGGTTAAGTATTTGCCTTTGGTTCAGGTCATGATCTCGGGGTCCTGGGATCAACCCCTGCATCGGGTTTCCTGCTTAGCAGGAAGTCTGCTTCTCCCACTCCCTCTGCCCCTCCTGTGCCTGCCCCCACTTGTGCTCTCTTTCTCTCTCTCAAATGAATAAATAAAATCTTAAAAAAAAAAAAAAGAAATCACCTGCCCCAATCTCTTATGAAAGAAAGAACTGAGGCTTGGATAAAATCACTTGGAGATTGAGTGATACAGACCAACAGGCTGAGAATGAAAGCTTGCATCTCCTCCTTCGTGTCATGGACACAGCCACCTGCCTCCCTAGAGTCTCCATGGCCCCATTCCTTTGCTAATGTGATGAGATCTTACTAGGGCATCTCTGTTCTGTTTATGCTTTTCTGTGTTCTTTCTTAAACCCTCTTAGGGCATGTCGTTACAATTTAAAAATCCTTGCCTTTCCTCTAAAAGCCATAATTTTTTTAAAAAAAGAAATTATTTAAAGGGACAGACTAATGATTCAATTATGGTCTTATTAGTAAATGGTAACATGATTAACAGATCGAAGAATGAAATTTGTTTGAAACTAATATTGATGCAATCATATATTTTGGTAAAGTTGGAAAGGCTACTACTGTACATGTGGGGGGAATGCATTCTAAATATGGATCAAAGAAAGCCTCCAAAATCAGACTTTAATATCTACTAATACACTTTCTCTTTTCTAGAGTGAATTTCCTTGCCAAGGTTATATCCAACACGTCAAAAAGCTCTTCAAGGTCATATCCAACACATCAAAAAGCTCTTCAAGGTCATGGATAGAAGTAACGCCTCAGAAGAAAAAGGAGAAATGCAGTGCTCCTGGCAAAGTGTGATTAGACTTTCCTGAAATTTCAGCTACTTTACACACTGAAAGAAACTTTCAGAAAACAGCCTTTGTTTTGCACTAGCTCAGTCTTAGTAATTTCATTGCTCTTGAAAATAATCTCTCAAAAGCCCAGGTGGGTAAACTGAACAGAAAGCAATTCATCTACCCATGAATAAGAAAAGAAAATGTGCAGTCTTGTGCTAGTGTGAACTGGCTGAGTCTCGTGGCTATGCACGTCCCACTCCTGTAGTATCTTCACACTTATATTGCTTAAACATTGGATATTAGAGATTGCAAAAACTTTTAAAAGTACTTTAAACATACATGGCTCCATTTCTGCCAATTGAATGAAGTGAATTTCTGTCAACTGAATGTGGCTCAATATTCTGTCTCATTTAATGACTTTAATCTGGCTTCAAAGATTATTATTTATCATAATGCTCTTCCCCACCTAAGTTCTAGACCAAATAAGTAATTAGCCATATAGAAATAATATCTACTTTATTACTGTATTGGAATAAACAACATGACCTACCCAATAAAAAGGGTCCCAATATTGTCCCCTGGGTCTAGGCCTTGAGTCCTTATCCCAAGGGGAGGATGCAGCAGAAATGCATACTTGTGTTTTCCAAATGACATGTGCAAAAATGGTCACAGAGGTAATACACATAATTGCCTCCAAAAGGAAACTATCCAAATGACTATAAACAATAAAAGAGAGAAATAAAAATTGTGGTATATTCATACAATGGAGTACTAAACAGTAATGTGAGGGGGCAGACTATAATTACATGCAGCCATATAGATAAATCCCACAAACATAATGTTCAGGGGAGAAAAGGTCATGTATAAAAGAGTACATACTGTATGTGATTCTATGTGTATAAGGTTTAAACACAAGCTAAACTAGAAGATAGTGTTAGAAGCAGGATAGTGGTTACCCTTGGGGGGGTAGGTAGTTACGGGAAGGGAACCCAGAGGGTCTATGGTCTTGCAGAAATGTTCTTTTCCTTGATCTGGATGCTGGTGTCATACACATATGACTTGTGTTCACTTGCTTCTATGTTATAACTGAATAAAAATGTTTTTGAAAAAGTTACTTTTGACCCCCTTGGTCTATCTAGTTATTAAGCCATCCCTCACTTCTCCATAGTCAATTTCCTTTGAAACATCATCTTCCAAAAACCTTGGAGTCATCTTTGGCTCTTCTATATTTTTCACACACCATTATCCAGTCTATCATTAAAACATCAAAAAATACTGAGTCTGATTACTTCTCACCATCTCACGAGTACTCTGGCTCATTGTCTCCCATTGGCATTATTGCAACGGGTGACCAGCTGGGCACCCACGCCACTCGGTTTGTTCTTTGTATAGCAGACAGCAGATTTTTTTTTCCCCATCTAAAATCAGACAATGTCATTCCTCTGCTCAAACCCATTCCATTCCATTCCAAATAAAAGCTAGAGTCCCTAAATGTCCTTACAGGATCTGAACTCTCGTATCTGCTCTGAACTTCTGACTACTCCCCCTTGCTCCCTCTACTCCAGTCCCAGTCACATGGGCCTTGTGCTGTCACTTGACACATTTCTTTAGAAATTTTACCCTGGCGGGCTCTCTACCTGGAGTACTTCTCCTGCAATTACTTCTATTGCTTTATTTCTTACTTCTTTCAAGTCTTCCTTCAAATCTCTTAATTGCAGTAAAATTTCCCCCACCCACCTACATAAAATTATGGGCCTCTCTCCCAGTCACTTGCTTATTTTTTCCCCAAAGCACTTACTACCATCTGACATACTATGTATTTTCTTTGTTTGTTAATTGTATGTCTACCCCCACTAGTCTGTAAGCTAGGACACTCACTTACTACTCTCCACTGAGGTTTTCAGCTCCTGTTTATGTGTTTTCAAATGTGTGTGTGTGTGTGTGTGTATTAGTATCTTACACTGGGGGTGGAGGGCCTTGGAGATTCCTCCTCATTCTGTAAGCCAAGCAATGCAATAAAATATTTAATCCAGGACCTATTTCTTGTTTGTTTCTCTGTTAATAGGAAGGCTCTTCAGAATATCTGAAGAATTATATTTAGAATTATTTGGAATAATACTTCAAGTAATACTATCTGGAATATATTCAGAATTATCTGGAATAATATTCCAAACTGATAGTAGGTGCAGTAAGGACAATGAATATTTCATTTGCAACATTCCTACACTCCCCCAGCCTGGTTGTCTTTCATAAATGGTATGTCCATCGACTCAATTTCTAAAGTCAGAAATTTGGGACCCATTTTTGACTCCGCCTTTTGCCTCACTACCATATTCCCTTTGGGGACCCAATTAGGCAACAACCACTAGCAAGAAAGGTGAATAAATTCATGGCAAGAAAAGGAATGAACAGTTTCACCCAAGTCCAAGCAGACACTGCAGATATTGAACATACATACTAGAATTCTGTGTACTCTCAATGTTTTAGAAAAAAATTGCAGGTTCCCCAAAAGGCAACTCAAAATTAGTGGCTGAGCCACACATACCCAAATCCTTATCACAAACTCTCTGTCCCTCCTCCCACCTTAATGAATAGGGGGTGAAAGATTCTCCCTGCTGGCCTGATATAAGCAGTCATGTTGAGAAAGCAAGGAACAGGGCATTCAACTGGCAAAACCCAGGGCCCTGAGTCATACAAGGACAAGGAAATGAATTCTGTCAATAACCTGACTGTGCTTGGAAGTGGATTTTCCCCACTTGAGCCTCTAAATGGAGATACAGGCTGTCTGACACATTGATTTTAGACATCCCTGTGAGACCCTGAACAGAGGGACCCAGCTAGGCCATGCCTCAACTCCTGATCCATGAAAATCATAAGATAATAAATATATGTTGTTTTGAGCCACTAAATTTGTGGTAATTAATAGCAAACAAACAAACAAAAACTAATACACACTAGATTGTTGCATGGAAAATGAAAGGGGGTAGGCCACGCTCAGTTTTGGCTTCAACCCTTACCAGCAGTAACGTTGGACCTCAGTTTCCTCTTCTTTAAAATGGATGTGACAGTATATGCAGAAGGAGTTTAGTGAGGGAGTAAATACCTCATTTTATTTAAAGCAGCATTGGCACATGCTAAGTGTTACCTGTCAAATGCTAAGTGTGGTCTTCTGCAGGTGGAAAGCAAGAGCAAATGCCATTTCCACCCAAAGAGTATCACCCAGCTTGTAGCTGTCCCACAGAGATCCTCTCATTTCACCTCTCCATGGAATAGCCTAGTTCCCGCCTTCTGGTTTGAGTCTGTGCACTGATATTAGAGGACCCATCTTTAAGAAGCTTGAAAGTCAGAAGCAGGGGCAAAGGGCTGAGGCTAAAAACTATAACCTAGTTGAAATAATAAAATGAGATGCATTTTTGAAATAACCAAGGCAGATGAAATCTTAAGTGTCTCCTGCTTAATATCACTTATTCTTTCCTAAAAATCAGGTATTCTGCATGAAGACAGTTCTTTCCCACCATTTTATTTTTATTTTTTTTCAACTCAATCATGAAGTAAATTTATTTACAAAGAATCTACCAGCATGAGAAAACATTTATGAAAATCTTAAACAGTACAAAGCTCTGAAGCTCCACTTAGGTGCAACAAACATGGCTATGAGGCTAAGCAACTCTAGTCTTTTCCATAAAGTGAGTAAGATGTAACTCTGACAGAGTATATTGATCCTTGAAGCAGCAATCCTCAGATTTCAGTATGGCCCTGTGTATTTTTAAGGCTAGAATGAGCAATAGAGTTTTTAAGAATATATTGAGTGACAGAGGGCAATTCCATTAAGTGATTGGAACAAATGTGCATAGGTAACAAAACACTTCACATAGGTAGAATATTTATGCCATTACCAACCCATTTGGTTCCCTGTTTCATTAAGACAACTCGATTCTCTGGAGGAGGATGAGGTGGCTTTCTCAGCTTGTTAGTGGTTTAGGTTCTACTAAAGCTTGTGGTAGAACTACCTACCCTCAGGTAAATGCTTCTGTCTAGAAGAGGATTCCAGTTCTGTCAGCAGAGGGAACTTGACATTAAAAATCTAGGTCAAGAATCTATAGGAAAAGTCTCATTAGAAAACTGAAATGTACAGAGACTTAGGTAAAAACCATTTCAAAGAATTCGTGAGCTTTAAGGTCAGTAACATCTTTTCAGGGATGTAGTATGTGAAAAGAACCACCAACGCTACATAGATAGTGAACAAAGAGCAGAAAAAAGTCTTTTGACTAAAGTGGGGAAGACAGTAGAAAAATATTTACAATAAAGAAAGGGTTCAGAATAAAATACTTTTTACAGGATGTTAAAAAATTAATCTTCAGCCATAATGAGGCCTCTCTGAGCTCCTAAAACCTTTGCTTTCTTCTCCTTTCGTCTTTGCTCATATTGTTTCGTTGTTCCTCCCTAGGCTGGAGAGGAGGTTGTTCCTAAGTTCTCTTGTGGAAGGTAACTCCGTTTGCATGCTCCCTCAGAGAATTATTTTCTTTAGACTGACCCCATGGTTTCAGCTTGCCTTTGTGTGGCTCATAGTTGAGGGGACGAGACAGACTTGCTTTGAGATCAAACACTGGCTTCTTGCTGGAGACCGGTGTCTGTGCTGCCTGAGTTGTCAATTTTAATGGGGTAACAACAGAAACAGAATTTCTGTTTGTGGTCTTTAACTTGTAAGTCCCGAGCGCAGCCTGGCCTTTTGGAGCACTCCCAAAGGTATGGTCACATGTGGAGACTTTCTGGCTGGAGTCTTGGTCAGTGAACACTTATGCTCATTATCTTTGGTAGCAGCTGAAAACCTGACGTTCATTTTAGTCGCCGAGAGAAGGGATCGCTTGGCGGAGCCCTTCCCACACAAGGTGCTCCAGCCTGCAGCGGCCAGGGGCCGGCCCTGGTGCAAGTCGCGGGGAGCCTTCCCCAGAGAGGAACTGGAGTCACCACCGCTCCCTCGGTGACCGGCTGCTTCTTCAGTTCATTAAATGAACTGTGTTCTTCAAAATGTTTCTTTTTTCTCTCAATATATTGATCAATGGACTCCATTTCCTTAAAACGAGTCTCATGAAGCTTCTTAAAGTTTGGAGTAGTGCTTCTATTTCTTTTGCTTTTTCCAGGTTTCGAAAACCCATCTGTGTAGAGAGGCTTCTTTCTTTCCGAAGGTACCTTTGAATCTTCATTACCATATATTCTTCTTTTTCCTGAGGAAACAGCATTCTCCTCTCCTTGGCTCTCATCTGGTGGTGAAGGAACTTCTGCAACTGTTCTGAGATCCTGGTTTTCCTGCTTCTCTTGATTCTGCAATTCAGCGTGATCACTTATTTTGATCTCTGAATCATGCTGCTGGGAGTCCGGGTTCCTGTGGACTGTCCTGCACCTTCTCCTGGTTTTGGTGCCATGGCCAACAGACTCCCTCTCAGCTTGTTCCTGGCTGCCACTCTGCATCTCAGCCTGGTCACAAGACGATGCAGAAGTTTGACTTCCATCCCGATTATCATTTTCTTTTTTTACCTCGTGTTTAAGGCGGGCTTTCAAGGCTTTTAACAACTTGTGTGCCCTCAGGTTAGCCCAGAGGCCCAGATTCTTGGCCAAGGTCTGCAGGTGGCTGTACTTGAAGGAGTCCAGCTCCTCAAGGGAGGGTCCGGCCACGGCGAGCTGCATCCAGGCGACCATGCAGAGGACGCCTACTCCAGCCTCGGCAGTGCAGTTCAAAACTCTGGCACCTCTTTCCCACCATTTTAAAGGAAAAACCATATGCTATTAGTCAACCCAAACTCCCATCCAATGTCCCAAAGTGTAAGTAAGAGGCAGTAAAATATCTAGTCATAATAAATATTAAATAGTAATATTTAATAGTAAATTAACACGTCAGGTTATAAAAATCCTTAAAGTACTATAATTCCTTGATCACCAAATAATCACAATGGTTGGTAACAAATTGATGCTTTTTTTTGCAGTGCATGGCTGCAGTTTGAGTCAGTACCATCCTGGGGACACTACCCCTTTATTGACACAGCATGCTTTTCAAAACTTCTCCACATGATTCTGATGATCTATCAATTCTGCTTACAATTTAAATACAGACTTGTCCCACACTTTGTTTTGTTTAAAATGCTGCCTTCCACTTTGGGTACCTAAATTAAAATTTACTTGAATAAATGTTGGTAGAAAAATGTTGTATTGAGAAATATGTACCCTCTCTGAAGTCTGGATGTGAAAACAAAGAGTCATTCTATCAGAAAAAAAAAATTAACGAGAACACTGTCTGCAATTATTTCTCTACATCAGTGGTTCTCAACCTGAAATGATTTTGCTCCCCACCCCCAAGGGACATTTGGCAATATCTGGAGACAATTTTGGCTGTCACAACTGGGGATGTGGTAGTAGCATCTAATGAGTAGAGGCCAGAGACACTGCCAAATATCCTACAATGCACAAAACAACTCCTGACAGCAAAGAATTAGCAGACCCCAAATGCCAGCAGGGCTGAGGTTGAGAAACGCTGCTAGCCATGCTTGCCACAAACTAGGAAATACTCAAGATAACACTTGTACATGTAATTTTTTTGGATTTGTGAAACCATTTACCTTTGTGGTTTGATAGTTAAAATCATAACAAATACAGGATCATAAAGGATTAAATGTGGGAAGCAAAATTCCAAAAGGCACTTTCTGTTCTTTTCATTGTACTTGCGTAGTTTAAATCAGGAGGGCTTTCAGCAGCATTAGCTTTACCTGTCTTTCTGAAAGCTAAAATACTCTGTTAAAGTGGCAACTACATCTGTTCCTATACCTCCTTAAATATGGATTTTGACACTACAAGGGAATAGGATTAAACAGCAAGTGAGACAATTCATCAACAAGTGGGAAACTCCTTTCGAAAGAGGGTGGAAGAAACACAAATTTTAGAGACAGGTGGAATTTGCATCCTTTCCCAATCCCTTAGTATGTTACCGTGGGCAACGTAGTCTTTCTGTACCTCAGTTTTGACACTACAGAATTGTTAACAGGGTTAATAGATATCAAAACAAAACACTCTCTACAGTACCTAGAACATAATGGATATTCCATAAGTTTCAGTTCCTTTATATCTCATGAACATAGGTACTGGGATTTGTTTTCAAGTACATCATCTATTTATTTTGTGTTTACCACCTGCTTCTAATCAAATTGACAAGAAAGTAGGTCTTCTGGAAAACCAGACTGATCCTTTACCAGGATCCAGGGCCTGGATATGCCCTAGAATTCTAAGACTCTATGACTCAATGACTGTGATTCTGTGGTTCTAGGAGTGATGAGAGCGATCACTAAGGCTCATTGCTAAGGACTCCATGTGAAACTGATGGAAGACCATGATTTTAGCTGCAATGTTCAATCACTCACTCTTCTAACAGAGTTCTACCATTGAATCATGGAGTCATCATCCGAGGTCAAAAGATCGACCCAAGTCATCACTATACAACCAAATGATACAGTACTGACTGCATTTCCCTATGAACCTCATACCTCTCTGTTGGATTTCCTGAAGGGAGAACCAAAAGTCTTAGGGGTAAGTCCTCTCCCATCCATGGGTTTTCCTGGAAGGGAGAAAAGAAGAGATTTTTCCAGGTGTGTCTGCGTGGGTACTTTTTCAGGAAGGGATTTGATTCCCCTTCTTTTCTCTTACCTTTTGTCTATAGTGTTTCCTTCTTGATTAATCATAAAAACCTCTAAGTCACTTGCTTGTACAAATAATTTGATCATCAGTAGACGAGCCAATATGTAGCCAATAATACCATTTCCCTAGATTTTGATAAACAAGAGAAATAAAAGTTCTGCTTAGAAATGCACACAGTGTGCCTTAGAAATGTCTTATTTATAAGCATATCTTAGAAATGCTTCTGGGGGCTTATTTAACTCTGGGAAATAGAGTGTTTGTTTGTTTGTTTATGTATTTATTTAGAAAGCATCTTTCTTTTTTTATTTAAATTCAATTAGCCAACATATAGTACATCATTAGTTTCAGATGTAGAGTTCAGTTCATCAGTTGCACATTACACTCAGTGCTCATCACATCACCTGCCCTCCTTAATGCCCATCACCCAGTTACCCCACCCCCCCACCCACCTCCCCTCCAGGAACCCTCAGTTTATTTCCTATTGTTAAGAGTCTCTCATGGTTTGTCTCCCTTTCTGATTTCTTCCCATCCAGTTTTCCCTCCCTTCCCCTATGATCCTCCATGCTGTTTCTTAAATTCCACATATGAGTGAAACCATATGATAACTGTCTTCCTCTGATTGACATATTTCACTTAGCATAATCCCCTCCAGTTCCATCCACGTCAATGTAAATGGTAAGATTTCATCCTTTTTGATGGCTGAGTAATATTCTATTGTAGATATAGATCACATCTTCTTTACCCATTCATTTGTTGATAGACATTGAGGCTCTTTCCACAGTTTGGCTATAACTTTCTAACAATAAGGAAATCCTCAGGCTATTTCATGAGGAGTTAGTACTGCTCTCTGAATCCTAACAGAGAGGATGCCTGAAACTGGTGTAATTTTTCCAAATATTTTACTGAGGAGGTGACTTCAGGGTGTGGTGGCACTTCCCTTGGAACTAAAAGCCATTCATGGAGAGGTTAAACTTCCCTTTTGTGCTGTTATAGGCACTGAGACTTCTTTGAAAATTATATTCAAAGCTCCATAGCGAGCCACAAGGTAGACAAAAAATTTTTCAATCATAAATGTACCTAAAGGAGGGCTATACACACAGTTTTCATCCCTGGTACAAGAGGAAAATCACCACTTATGGTGCAGTGCTATAGAGTTGTGGCCTGGGGAAAAACCCGGAATGCTTGAGGAGAAGCTCTGTCCTGAGAAGAGCTGCCAACCCCAAGACCACCATGGTGCAGACTCCTAACAGGCTGATAAAGCCACTGGATTACTCTCAGCTCTAGGCAGGCCCTTGCCTGAAGAGCAGATGAGACATAGAACTCACCCCAGCTTCTCCACTCTAGATCAGCAAACTTCAAACTTTTAGAGAAGTGGGCTGAGCCGTAACTCCAAAAGCATATATTGGATGTGGAAAATGTGTGTGCTGGGGGGTGGAGATAAAAGTAGGGTGCTGGAGCTACAGAAGGAAAAAAAGGTAAGGGTGAATAGTTTGCAGTCTCTGTCCTCAAGAAGCTTGCAAGTTTATAGTTAAATCTGTCTGGTGCAAGGTAAATTGGTAATACAGGGAATATAAAAGGTAGTGAAAGATGAGAGTGAGGAATGTGAACTTGAAGGACCCATGTAAGTGTGATGAGGAAAGAGACAGTGGACTTTCTGCAAATCTAAAGGCAGTTGGCACACGGAAGAGGAAGGCATTCACGTGGAGGGAGGTGTGACATAAGCATAGCGGGATGCCCCAGGGATCTGGAAGAGTCCAAAGAGGCTGGGGCACTTGTGATCTCATGGACCCACTTCTTTCCTCACAGGCTATCCAGATCCTGCTGGCACTGATCACTGGGGGCGTCGGAACTATATTTGCATTTAATTACATCAATTTCTCCCAGAAATTTCCCCTCGTTTTCCTCACAGGATATCCATTCTGGGGAGCACTTATTGTGAGTACTGTCAGTTAGGAGCTTTTGACAAATTACAGTCAACTGGTTTGAACTGCCTCAGGTTCTGGAATAATGAATCCCATGAATATGGTCCCCAAGGAGACCAGATAACCAGTCCCTTCTGTGACAAGAGAAGTGACTCCATTTGGTCATTGTATTACCATCATCGCAGTAATAATGCTCTTAGGTGTGCAGTGTTTAAAAGTTTCCAAAGCCCTGTGTGTAGAACAAGTCATTTGCTCCTTACTACCAGTGGGAGATCAGATGGGCAAATACCCTACCTTCTCCTTTGCAAATACAGAAATGGAGTTTGAGAGTAGATAATTTTTGAGTGTAGTTGACTCACAATGTTACATTAGTTTCAGTGTACAATATAGTGATTTGACAAGTTTATACATTATGCTAGTTCACCACAATTGTAGCTACCATCTGTCACCATACATCTCTACTACAGTATTGCTGACGGTATGCATTATGCTATGCCATTTATTCCCATGACTTACTTATTCCATAACTGGAAGCCTGTTTGTCCCTCTTCCCTTCACCCATTTTCTCCATCCCCCTCCCCCTCCCCTCTGGCAACTGTTAGTTTGTTCTCTGTATTTATAGGTCTGAATCTGCTTTTTGTTTGTTCATTCATTCTTTTTAGATTCACATATGAGTGAAATCACATGGTATCTGTCTTTTTCAGTTTGACTTATTTCACTGAGCTTAATACCTTCTAGGTCCATCCATGTTGTCTCAAATGGCACAATCTCATCCTTTTTTATACCTGTGTAATATTCTACTGTATATATCACATCTTCCTTATCTATTTGTCTATCAAGGGACACTTAGGTTGCTTCCATATCTTGGTTATTGTAAATAATACTGCAATAAACATAGGGGTGCATGTATCTTTTTGAATTAGTGGGGTTTTTTGTTTTCTTTGGATAAATAATCAGTAGCAGAATTACTAGTTCATATGGCATTTCTATTTTCAATTTTTTGAAGAACCTCCATACTATTTTCCACAGTGGTTATACTAATTTACATTCCCATCAACATTGCGTGAGAGTTCCTTTTTCTCCACATCATCATCAACACTTGTTATTTCTTGTCTTTTTGATTTTAGTCATTTTAACAGGTGTAAGGTGATATCTCAATTATGGTTTTGATTTGCATTGATTAATAACATTGAGCATCTTTTCATGTGTTTGTTGGCCAGGTGTATGTCTTCTTTGGGAAAAATGTCTATTCAGGTCCTCTGCGCAGTTTTTAATCAGACTGTTTGCTTTTTTTGATGTTGAGTTGTGTAAGTTCTTTATATATTTTGGATAGTAACCTGTTACTGGATATATCATTTGCAAAAATCTTCTCCTATCCAGTAGGTTATCTTTTCAAATTTTATTGGTTGTTTCCTTCACTGTGCAAAAGCTTTTATTTTGAGGTAGTCCCAATAATTTTATTTTTGCTTTTGTGAAACCTCTGCCTTAGGAGACATTTCCGGAAAAATGTTTCTATGGCCAATGTCAGAGGAATTACTGCCTATGTTCCCTTCTAGGATTTTTATAGTTTCAGGTTTAGGTGTTTAATCCATTTTGAGTTTATTTTTGTGTACGGTGTTAGAGAAAGTGGTCCAGTTTCATGTAGCTGTCTAGTTTGTTTGTTTTTTTTTACATGTAGCTGTCTGGTTTTCCCAGCATCATTCATTGAAGAAACTGTCTTTTCCCCATTGTTTATTCTTACTTTCTTTGTCACAGTTAATTGAACATATAATCATGGGTTTCTTTCTGGGCTCTTTATTCTGTTCTATTAATCTATATAACTATTTTTGTGCCAGTACCATACTGTTTTGATTACCGCAAGTTTGTAATATATCTTGAAATCTGGAACTGTGATACCTCCAGTTTGTTTTTCTTTCTCAAGATTGTTTTGGCTATTCAGGGAATTTTGTGGTTCCATACAAATTTAGTACTTTTGTATTATTTGTTCTAGTTCTGTGAAAAATGCTGTTGGTATTTTGATGGGGATTACATTGAGCCAAGACATGGGAGCAACCTAAGCGTCCATAGATAGGTAGGTAGACTCTTTACGTTCCAGATAAAGAAGTGGCTGAGATAACTATACTAGATTCAAGCCCCCATATCAGCCTTTAGAGAGTTCTGCCATGAGAAAGTCTCCTTCCATCAGCTACAGCAGACACAGCTCACCTGTCCCTTCCCTCCAGCAGGCCCAGAGCCCAGAATTATCTTTCTATTTAGAGCCCAGCTGGGAAAAACATCTGGGTGGTATGTTTGGGACCTTAAGGAGGGGCATGCCTCTTCCAGATGACCCTGGCAAAAGGGGTGTTGTTCAGTGCTAAGTATGCCCAACACAATATTTCATCTTACATCAGTGCCTACTCTTCCTTCTTGATGCTTAGATGGAAAGACTATATGGTCAAGGAGATTCACAGACATATCGACTACAATATAATCTCCAAAGGAAATTATAATATTGCAATATAATTTACTTTGGAGATTATATTACAAGAGAATCAAACACATCTCCTGTTAACTTTTATTTCTTTTCTTCTTAACAGTATGTTATTACAGGATACCTCACAGGAATCAATGACAAGGAAAAACGTCTGGTAAGTTACTTTTGTGACTTCTATGTAATTTATGACCTTCTACTTGTTTTACATCATCTTGTATGTAAAGCCTTTAGTAATAAAGGATCTCCCAGGGCGCCTGGGTGGCTCAGTCGTTAAGCGCCTGCCTTCGGCTCAGGTCATGATCCCAGGGTCCTGGGATCAAGCCCCACATTGGGCTCCCTGCTCAGTGGAGCCCGCGTCTCCCTCTCCTACTCCCCTGCTTGTGTTCCCTCTCTCGCTATGTCTCTCCCTGTAAAATAAATAAATAAAATCTTTAAAAAAATAAAATAAAATAAAGGATCTCCCAAGAAAATCTTTAGACATCAAATTTGCAGTTTAAAGCATTCCTATTTGCCAATGTCACCATTAGCCTTCACCCTTCTACTAGTTTCCATTTCCCTGGTCAAGTAATCTGAAAGAGTTACTTGTTGGAAACCATTCTACATTCCTCTAACTCAGTGGTTCTTAACTGGGAATAATTTTGCCTCCTCCCCCAAAAATATCTGACAGTATCTGAAGACATTTTTAGTTGTCACAACTGGGTTGCAGGGTACTATTGTTACCTACAGGTAGAAGTCAGGAATGTGTCTAAACATCCTAAAATGCACAGAAAAGTCTACCATAACAAAAAATAAATGATCTAGCCCAAAATATCTGTAGTGCAAAGTTTGAGAAACCCTACTCTAACCAAAACCAAATCCCAGGATCACTGTAATCTCCCTGCCCCTAACCCCTGCCAACAGAAGCTTTTCTTTGGAACCTGCTCAAAGTCTAAAGGAAAACGTCTGATATTGATGCCAGATCATTCTGGGATGGGATCAAGGCTATCACTCATTGCTGTGTCAACTTGAAGGGAAAAGTACCTACTTCAAAGGGTTATTCTGAGAATTTAATAAGATACTATGTATAGGGGTACCTGGGTGGCTCAGTTGGTTGGCTCAGGTCATGATCTCAGGGTCCTGTGATCAAACCCCACATTGGGCTCCCTGCTCAGTGGGGAGTCTGCTTATCCCTCTCCCTCTGCCTCTCACCCCTGCTTGTGCTCTCTCTTGCTCTGTTCTCTCTCTCAAATAAATAAATAAAATCTTTTAAAAAAGATATTATGTATAAAAGATACTTAAAAGTTTGTACTCCCTTCTAACAACTCATTTTTTTTTTTAAGGCTCTGGAGATAAAAGGGTTTTCTTAAAGCCATTTTAACTGTGTTTTTATGGTCCTTTGCCATTTTCCTCTAGGGATAGCTACAGACCATAGGAAAGCTCTGAGGGGATGAAAGCCACCATCTTTCTCTACCTGTAGAAATAAATACAGACAGTGCAGATAAAGCCTAAATGCTGTTCTTCTCTCCATATCGATTCCCTTCAGAGCTGAGGAATAAACTAAGGATAGGCAGACTGACCCCTGACTCACTGAGCTCTACACAGACAAAGGCAGGCAAGACACCACAGAGGCAGGACACTGAATTGGGCATCGGAAGATCTGGCTTTCCATCCCAGCTCTTCCACCAACTGCAGGATTACTCACAATCACTTAGTCCCTGAACCTTATTCAGCTGTAATGTGGGGATAACAACTGATCTGCCTACATCACAAAACCATAACGAGGATCAGATAAGACAAAGGCTGGGTATATTCTTTGTAAACCATGAAGCCCAATACATATGGGGGATTGCTTACTTAGAAATCTTAGTCCATTAAATGTCCTACAGGAGCCAGAACAGAGCCCAGAAAGAGCAAAGGACTGAGGATAGAGATAGAATATCTGTATGTCCCTGTGCATTTTCTGCCAAAATACCTGTCTGTAGTAAAGACCTGTGCTTGGGGAGAGCATTTGTCATAGGTATACTTCCAAGTCCTGCCACACTAAGCCACAGCTGCTTCTGGATAGGACAGGCTGTGTAAATGCACCACTGCTTTACGCATCACAACAGGCATACACAATCAAGATATAGTAAGCATCTACTGAATTGAGATATGAGGCTTTTCTTTGTTTTTCATCTAAAAAAGCAATAGCAGTGCTGGGAGTAGGTATGAATAAGACAGTTCCCCCTTCCTGGCGTTTTCCTTTCCTTAAAGCGTGAGTGAAGGGAATTTGGTGGGGCAATCTGGACTTTTTATAACTTCCATGTTGAGACACTGAAGTCAAGAATGGAAATCATTAGACCCCAGCCTAAATTTGTTGCCATCAGTAAATATTTTAGTGATTTGGTTGGTTACTGTTTGAATCCCTGGGGGAATGAATGTAAGCCTCACAAAGGGAGGACCTTATCTACTGTGTCGATCATTGTGTCTCATGGGCCTAATGCAGTGCTTGGACACATAGTTGGGGCACACTAAACACTTGTTAAAATAAATGAATAATTGGATACTGCCCTAAAATGACGTTATTCTCATTTTTGGAGGTAAAAATTGAGAGTTCCAAGAGATTGAGTTACCTTGCACAAGGTCCTAGTTCAATAGGACTCAAAATCAGGTCTAATTACAAGGCGAAGATATTTCCTAACACACCGTTTTGCTTGTAGATTACGAAAGACCATGCATTAGGAGAAAATGAATGTTTTCTTTAGCATTAACCATAGAGCACTCCTTTTCTCTACCTGTTCTCTTTCTTGGCTTCCTGGCTCATTCTAAAATTTAGTTTGTCTTTTGACTTGAATGAATCAGGATTTAACTTATCATGCCTTTCAGACATACTGATCTGACAGAGCAATTCATCCCTGAGGGGTATCTGGAAAGACAAAGGCACTAAGAATGTCTTACAAGGTATTTTTGGTTCGGTTTGGTTTTTATTTATTTTAATATTATTTTAAAAACTATTTTTCAGAGACGAGGTGTCACGGCCATGAACGTTATCAGTTCCTTGGTTGCAGTGGCTGGGATTACTCTAACCATTATCAGCTACAGATACCAGCACAAGTACTGCCAGATGCCTTCCCTCGAAGGAATATGTGTTATAGGTAGAATTCTTTTCAATGTAAGTGGTCCTACTCTGTATGGTAAATCTACAATCTTACTTGGACTATGTTAATGATGCATCAATTCATTAATTTTGATTCCAATAATGGAAGTTGAGTTAGCATTTGAGCTGACTGTTGAGAAGTATATTGTGATTCAGGATCTGAATCCTGGTTTTGTAAGTTCTCTGAGCCCCAGTTTTCTGTGTGTGGAAAATGAAGATGATAAGAATACATCCTGCATTGGGTTGTCATGAGCATTACTTAAATTAGAACACTGCCCGGCACAGTGTAAACAGTCAATAGGTTTTGGCTGTTACTATTAGTACTGACAAGGATTGGATTAAATTTTACCTTTAAAGAATTAGTGAGGAACAAAATGACCTAAATCGGGGAACCTGGGTGGCTCAGTTGGTTAAACGGCGGCCTTTGGCTCAGGTCATGATCTCCGTGTACTGGGATCAAGCCTGGCATTGCATCAGTCTCTCTGCTCAGTGGGGAATCAGCTTCTCCTTCTCCCTCTGCCCCTCCCCCAGCCTGTGCGATTTCTCTCGCCATCTCTCTCTCAAATAAATAAATGAATAAAATCTTTAAAAAAATAAAGTTTACCCAATTAATACTAAAAAAAATATAGTGGGAGGAGATGTTTGAGCCACTTAATAAAGTATTTTAACAATTTTAGAACATAAGTCATTATACACAAATGTAGCAATTTTATTCATTACAGCAGATGAGATGTATCATTGCCAGGAAATACAACTGTAGGTGTAATTTTCAGCATATATCTAATAAGCATTCAATGACATCATTTTTATGCATGTCAATGTCTCCAAAAAGCCTCGCCCTTTACTTCCCCAAGTAAATCCTGGACTTTCATTTTATTTCTGTCAGCCACATCTTGAAGGCTTTGGTCCTAGAACGTTAATGAGGTTTGACCTGTTTGGATGGAAGTGAAAAAGAATCATGGAAAATTGTCTCCCCCAATAAAGAAGTAAAGAGAAAAGAGCTATCAGTTCCTGGATATGAGATTTTATTTAATCCTCACAATCACCCATAAAAGCAAGCCTAAGAATACTCTCATATGTTCTGAGATAAACTCCAGAATTAGACTAAAAAAAAAGTTACTAAGGAAAGCCAGAAAACTGTATGAGGAATACAACCCTGTTCTAACTGGGCCAAGACATACAACATTATAATCCATTACTCTTTTTTCTAGTGGATTGGAGACCACTACTGTACATTATGTTAGCATGTATCAGGAAGAAACTGTATACTGAAAGATTTTTGACTGTGCATGGATGGCAACTGCAGGATTAGTTTCTATATACAGAATCAGGGAGAATCTGTTCCAAGATCTCACGTGTCTGACTCTACAATTCCTTGGTGTAATTTAAATGTCACAAATAAGTTTAAAAAAAAAAAAGCAGAACAGTGGGCTCTAGACATCTCCTGAATGGACCTCTGTCTCAAAAATCAATCCACTATCTGCACTATGGCCAGAGCCATCATTTAAAAATGCAAATCTGAGCACATTACACAATGGCTTCTTGTGGAACACAGAATTAAGACACAAATCTTAAAAGGCTTACAAGACTCTATAACACCTACCTTGCCTACCTTTCCAACATTGTTCCAGGTCTTTATCCTTCTTACTCCACACATCTGGGACTGCCTCAAATTCCTTAATGTGTTAAATACCCACTGCCCCAGGACCATAAGACCAGCTTTCTCTTGCTTCCAATGTTTCCCAGCCTGGTGCCTACCCTTTTCCACCTCCCCAGTAAAAACTCCTCCTCGTTCTTGAACCTCAGTTTAAACTTCACTTCATTGAGGAGTCCTTCCTGATTGCACCTCTACCCTTCTCAGTGCTGGCCTGTTTGGATCTCCCATTACAGTAGTACATAGCTCCCAATACTTTTTCATGGCACTTATTCTAATTTAGTTAAGTAAACAATTGTCTAATTATGTCTAATGCCACTGTTTGCCTCCCTTATTATGATATAAGTTCCACAATGACCAGGAGCAGGTCTATCTTGTCCAACAGCAAATTTACGGTAGACACCTCATACATTTCAGTTTTACCAATAAATGGGGGAATACCCAAGCTTCTGAATTTGTTGCAGGGAAACCAAGGTTCGGACAGACTCAGTTGCTTGGCCAGGTTAAGTGTGGCCTGACCACACCCAGCTCTTCCAGTCTCCCCAGCCCAAGCTTTCCGGACACCATGCTATTTCTTACTCTGCTTTTTTGATCTATTACCTTAAAGCAGTGTGCAAAACAGCAATCTGTGGGCTATATCCAGCCTGCAGATATGTTCTATTTCGTTCACACAAGTGAATGAATAGCTGGAAAATTTCACAAAAATATGCATATCCAGGAGCGCCTGGGTGGCTCAGTCATAAAGCGACTGCCTTCGGCTCAGGTCATGATCCTGGGAGTCCTGGGATAGAGCCCTGCATCAGGCTCCCTGATCAGTGGGAAGCCTGCTTCTCCCTCTCCCACTTCCCCTGGTTGTGTTCCCTCTCTCGCTGTCTCTCTGTCAAATAAATAAATAAAATCTTTTAAAAAATATGCATATCCAGCTTCCTTAGGAAAGAAAAAAAAAAACATCATGGGCCCATGTTCCCACATGGTAACTATTGTTCAGAACTGATTAACGGACACCTTCTAGGAATACCCTTATTGTCTACTGTCTCCCCTCCTAACTGTTCTACTCATTTGGGATGGTTGCCTAGCTCCTATAAGCATTGGAGTTTGTTTTCTCTGCTTATCAAAAAGACGTAAGATGAAAATTGTTCAATCACTGATGGCTATGGAAGCATCTAAAATGTGGATTTTCCCCTAGTTGGTCATACAGTGTAAGTAGTTCTTGGCTTATATCTTTAATATGATACAGCTTTCATTCCAAATGCCATATATTTATCCTCATCTGCAGGGAATTTTGTCAGTCTTACTGATCATCAGCATAGCAGAGCTCAGCATTGCTGTGACTATCGCCTCCTTCAGAAGCAAGTGCTGGACAAACTCCGATGAGGTGCGTTCAGTGTTGTTTTAAGAATGGGTTCCCACTGGGACACTGCAGGATGACCTCTGGTCTATTAGTTGCCAGAGCAGTATTCTCAGATGCCGAACTAAAACTTCTAAGGTGAAGAGGGTCAAGGAGAGATAAGCTTAACATTGATGGCTCACTCCACACTTTGAGATAACTATGCTTCTTTTTCCTGCCCTCGACGGTATCCAGTAGACTCTGTTCAGACATAGCTCCTTATCTCCCTGACAAAATATATGAAGAGAAGCAGACTTAATGGGAACCCATATTACTATGTCATGGGGAGCTTATACCTCGGCCATAAGGATGTGTGAGACAATCCCCTCACCAGAGGGGAAGCAGGGAAGAAAAATATTTAACAGCGATACTCATCAAAACTATCAACACTCCCTTATTTTACCTATGAAAGAACTAAAGCACAAAGAGTACCCTCTCCAGTGTCGTAGAACATCATGGTTCTGACTAAAATAATGAGGCTCCAGAACCTGCTCTCTAAATCCCAAAAAACAGTTCCATGCCCTGTGTTAGGTGGAGTTTTTTCTTTCTTACATCAATTTTATAGAAGTATAATTTACTAACAGTAAAATGCACCCATTTTAAGTGTACCTAATTCAAGGAGTTTAGACAAATTGTAAACCCCTGTTTAGCTACCATCATAATCAAGATATAGTGAATTCCTGGGGCGCCTGGATGGCTCAGTTGGTTAAGCGTCTGCCTTCAGCTTGGGTCATGAACCCAGGGTCCTGGGATCTAGCCTGACATCGGGCTCTCTGCTCAGCAAGGAGCCTGCTTCTCCCTCTCCCTCTCTGTTGTTCCCCTTGCTTGTGCTCTCTCTCGCTCTCTCTCCTCAAATAAATAAATAAAATCTTTAAAAAAATATATGGTGAATTCCTATCATCCCAAAAGATTCTCTGGAACCTCTTCACAGTCACTATCTCTGTCTTGATAGTTTTTACTTTTTCAAACTTCATATACATGGATCATAAATAGTACTTTTGTGTCTAGGCTTCTTCCACCAAGCAACATATTCATGAACTTCATCCATGATGTTGCATGTATCAATACTATGTTCTTTTTATGTGAGGGTTTATGTGAGGGTACGCCACAATTTGTCTATCCATGTACTTCCTGATGCGCATTTGGTTGCCATGAACATCTGAGTTCATGTCTTTGTGTTGACATATGGTTTCATTTCTCTTGGAGCATCGTATCTAGGATTCGGTTGCTAGGTCAGATGGCAAGTGGATGTTTAACTTTGTAAGAAAATGTCAAACAGTTCTCCAAAGTGGTATATCATTTTGCATTCTTATCAGCAATATATGAGAGGTATATAACATTGATGGTTCACTCCACTCTTTGAGATAACTATACTTCTTTTTCCTGTCCTTTCTGCTATCCAGTCATCTCTGTTCAGACATAGCTCCTTCTCTCCCTGCCAGGTTGCTCTATATAATCACCAACACTTAGAATTGCCAGTTGTATTAATAATTTTGCTCTTCTAGTGGGGAAAAAGTGGAATTTCATTGTAGTTTTAATTTACATTTCCCTGATGACAAATGATGATGAGTTTTTTTTGTGTTTATTGTCCATTTATATATCTTTTTTTTTTTTTGGAGATGTGTCTGTTCAAATTGTTAGCCAACTTTTATTGCATTATCTTATTGAGTTATAAAAACTTAAATGATTCTTAATACAAGTCCCTTTCTGAGATATGTGTATTGCTAATATTTTTCCCAGCTTTGGCTTGCCTTTTCATTTTCTTGTTTCTTTCAAATAACAAACTTGTTGAAGTCCAACTTATGGTATATTTTCTTTTATAGTTAGTCCTTTTCGTGTTCTAACAAAGTTTAGCCTATACCAAGATTGTAAAGATTTTCTTCTCTATTTTCTTGTAGAAGTCTTATAGTTTTAGCTTTTGTGTTTAGGTCTGTTAACAGATTTCAAGCTAACTTTTACTTATTATATAGCTGTGAGGTAAGACGTTCATACACCCCCCACCATGGAGATATTCAGCTATGCCAATGCTATTTGTTGAAGATCCATTGTTTTCCCCCACTACCTTGGCACCTTGGTTGAAAATCAATTGACCTCTTATTTATAGGTCTCTTTCGGACACTATTTTGTCCCATTGATCTGTATGTCTATCCTTCCACATATTCCACACTGTCTTAATTTCTGCAGCTTTAGTATAGTAACCTTTTTTATTGTGGGAAAATATACATAACATACGATTTATCATTTTAGCCATTTGTTAAGTATACAATCTAGTGGCATTAAATATATTCAGAATGATGTGTAACCATCACCATTATCTATGCCCAAAACTTTTTCATCATCCCAATACAAACTCTGTACCATAAACGTAACTCCCCTTTCCTTCTCCTTCCAGTCCCTGGTAAAGTCTAGTCTATTTTATGTCTCTACGCCTACTTTCCATTATCTACTGATTATTCTAGATAATTCATAAAAGTGAAATCATATAATACTTATCCTTCTGTATCTGCTTTACTTGAGTAAACATAATGTTTTCCAGGTTCATTCATATTCACCTATAAAAATTTCATTCCTTTTATAGATGAACAGTAGTCCATTTTTGTGTATATTCCACATTTTGTCTAGCCATTCATCTGTTGATGGACACAGCTTTTTTGCACCATTTGGCTATTGTGAATAATGCTGCTAGGCACATTGGTATACAAATATCTGTTCTAGTCAATTCTTTTTGGATATATATATATATATATATATCTAAGAGTGTGATTCCTTGGGTCATATGGTAATTCTGTATTTAACCTTTTGAGAAACTGTAAAAATGTTTTGACAATGGCTGCATCATTTTACATTCCCATCAGCAGTGCACAAGGGTTCCAATTTCTCCACATCTTCGCCAACATTTGTTATTTCCTTTCCTTTCATTATAATAACCACCCTAATGGGTATGCAGTGGTAGATATCTCATTGTGATTTTGATTTGAATTTCCTAGAATTAGTGATGTTGAGTAGCTGTTCATGCACCTATTGATTATATATCTTCTTTGGAGAAATATCTATATAGTCCTTTGCCCATTTTTAATTGGGTTGTTTTTGTTGTTGTTGTTGAACTATAGGAGTTCTTTATACATTCTAGATATTAGCCCTTAGTGTATATATGATTTGCAAATATTTTCTGTCATTTTGTAGGTGGTCTTTTCATGTTCTGGCAGTATTTTTCAATGCATGACAGTTCTTAATTTTGATGAGGTTCAATTACTACTTGTTTCTTTTGTTGTCTGTGCTTTTAGTGTCATATCCATGAAATCACTGCCAAATCCAATGTCATGAAGAATTCCCTCAATATTTTCTATGAGTTTTATAGCTTTGGCTACTTTTAGCATAAGACCTTTGATCCATTTTGAGTTCAATTTCATATATGGTGTAAGGCAGGGCTCCAAATTCATTTTTTGCATGTGGATATCCAGTTTTCTAGCACTATTTGTTGAGACTATCATTTCCCCCACTGAATGGTCTTGGCAGTCTTGTCAAAAATCAATCTATGATGGGGCATCTGGGTGGCTCAGTCGGTTGAGCGGCTACCTTCAGCTTGGGTCATGATCCCAGAGTCCTGGGATTGAGCCCCGCGTCGGGCTCCCTGTTCCTCGGAGAGCCTGCTTCTCCCTCTCCCTCTGCCTGCTGCTCTGCCTACTTGTGCTCTCTAGCTCTCTGTCAAATAAATAAATAAAGTCTTAAAAAAATCAATCTATGAGGGTGCTTAGGCGGCACAGCTGGTTGACCATCTGACTCTTGGTTTCAGTCAGGTCATGATCTCGGGGTCGTGGGACTAAGCCCTGTGTCAGGCTCCATGCTCAGGGCAGAGTCTGCTTGGGATTCTCTCTCCCTCTCCCTCTGCCCCTTCCCATGCACTCTCTCTCTCAAATAAACAAATCTTAAAAAAAAAATCAATCTACCATACATGTGAGGGTTTATTTCTTGACTGTATTCAACTCCATTAGTCTGTATGTCTGTCTTTATGCCAGTACCATACTGTCTTAATTACTGTAGTTTTGTATTAAGTTTCAAAGTTGGGAAGTGTGATTCTTTCAACATATTCTTTTTCAAGATGTTTTTTGACCATTTCGGTCCCCTGGAATTCCATATGAATTTGAGAAATGATTTTGCCCTTTTTGAGAAAAAGGCTGTTGGAATTTTGATAGGAATTGCATGTAAGCTGCAGATAGCTTTGGGTAGTATTGGCATCTTAACAATGTCAACTGTTCCTATGATGAACACGGGATGCCTTTCCATTTATTTAGACCTACTTTAATTAACTTCAGCAATATTTTGCAGCTTTTAGCACAGAAATCTTTCATCTCCTTGATTATATTTATTCCTCAGTATTTAAATATTTTAGATGGTACTGTAAATAGAATTACTTTCTGAATTTTCTTTTCAGAATGCTTATGGCTCGTATACAGGAACACAACTGATTGTTGTGTGTTGGTCTTGTATGTTGTACTTTGCTGAATTTGTTTATTAGTGCTAATAACTTTCCTGGGTTTCCTTGTCATGTTCCCTATATAGGATTATGGCATCTGTGAAAAGAAATAGCTTCACCTATTCATTTCCAATTTGGATGACTTTTACTTTTTTTCTTGTTTAACAGTACTGTCTAGAGCTTCCACTACAATATTGTGTAGCAGTGGTGAAAGCTGGCATTCTTATCGGATTCTTGATCTCAGGGGGAAACATTTCATGCATGGTGGGTTTCTACATTCTCCCATAAATACCATTGTTTTTAAATATCAAGAAAACAAAATAAACCAAAAAACCCAAAAAACAAAAATAGTTGGAAGTTGAATAATTTTCTCTAGAAGTGGTTTCAGCCAGTATGGGTTGAAATAATGGCATCTAGCCTCTGTGCCTACACATCAGTGATCAGAAGCAGCAATCTGCAATAAGAATACAGAAACCTGATATTTGAGGGGTGCCTGGGTGGCTCAGTCGTTAAA